GCGTGTGTGTGCGTGTGTGTGTGTGTGCGTGTGGGTGCGTGTGTGTGTGCGTGTGTGTGCGTGTGTGTGTGTGTGCGTGTGGGTGCGTGTGTGTGTGCGTGTGTGTGCGTGTGTGTGTGTGTGCGTGTGGGTGCGTGTGTGTGTGCGTGTGTGTGCGTGTGTGTGTGTGTGCGTGTGGGTGCGTGTGTGTGTGCGTGTGTGTGCGTGTGTGTGTGTGTGCGTGTGGGTGCGTGTGTGTGTGCGTGTGTGTGCGTGTGTGTGTGTGTGCGTGTGGGTGCGTGTGTGTGTGCGTGTGTGTGCGTGTGTGTGTGTGTGCGTGTGGGTGCGTGTGTGTGTGCGTGTGTGTGCGTGTGTGTGTGTGTGCGTGTGGGTGCGTGTGTGTGTGCGTGTGTGTGCGTGTGTGTGTGTGTGCGTGTGGGTGCGTGTGTGTGTGCGTGTGTGTGCGTGTGTGTGTGTGTGCGTGTGGGTGCGTGTGTGTGTGCGTGTGTGTGCGTGTGTGTGTGTGTGCGTGTGGGTGCGTGTGTGTGTGCGTGTGTGTGCGTGTGTGTGTGTGTGCGTGTGGGTGCGTGTGTGTGTGCGTGTGTGTGCGTGTGTGTGTGTGTGCGTGTGGGTGCGTGTGTGTGTGCGTGTGTGTGCGTGTGTGTGTGTGTGCGTGTGGGTGCGTGTGTGTGTGCGTGTGTGTGCGTGTGTGTGTGTGTGCGTGTGGGTGCGTGTGTGTGTGCGTGTGTGTGCGTGTGTGTGTGTGTGCGTGTGGGTGCGTGTGTGTGTGCGTGTGTGTGCGTGTGTGTGTGTGTGCGTGTGGGTGCGTGTGTGTGTGCGTGTGTGTGCGTGTGTGTGTGTGTGCGTGTGGGTGCGTGTGTGTGTGCGTGTGTGTGCGTGTGTGTGTGTGTGCGTGTGGGTGCGTGTGTGTGTGCGTGTGTGTGCGTGTGTGTGTGTGTGCGTGTGGGTGCGTGTGTGTGTGCGTGTGTGTGCGTGTGTGTGTGTGTGCGTGTGGGTGCGTGTGTGTGTGCGTGTGTGTGCGTGTGTGTGTGTGTGCGTGTGGGTGCGTGTGTGTGTGCGTGTGTGTGCGTGTGTGTGTGTGTGCGTGTGGGTGCGTGTGTGTGTGCGTGTGTGTGCGTGTGTGTGTGTGTGCGTGTGGGTGCGTGTGTGTGTGCGTGTGTGTGCGTGTGTGTGTGTGTGCGTGTGGGTGCGTGTGTGTGTGCGTGTGTGTGCGTGTGTGTGTGTGTGCGTGTGGGTGCGTGTGTGTGTGCGTGTGTGTGCGTGTGTGTGTGTGTGCGTGTGGGTGCGTGTGTGTGTGCGTGTGTGTGCGTGTGTGTGTGTGTGCGTGTGGGTGCGTGTGTGTGTGCGTGTGTGTGCGTGTGTGTGTGTGTGCGTGTGGGTGCGTGTGTGTGTGCGTGTGTGTGCGTGTGTGTGTGTGTGCGTGTGGGTGCGTGTGTGTGTGCGTGTGTGTGCGTGTGTGTGTGTGTGCGTGTGGGTGCGTGTGTGTGTGCGTGTGTGTGCGTGTGTGTGTGTGTGCGTGTGGGTGCGTGTGTGTGTGCGTGTGTGTGCGTGTGTGTGTGTGTGCGTGTGGGTGCGTGTGTGTGTGCGTGTGTGTGCGTGTGTGTGTGTGTGCGTGTGGGTGCGTGTGTGTGTGCGTGTGTGTGCGTGTGTGTGTGTGTGCGTGTGGGTGCGTGTGTGTGTGCGTGTGTGTGCGTGTGTGTGTGTGTGCGTGTGGGTGCGTGTGTGTGTGCGTGTGTGTGCGTGTGTGTGTGTGTGCGTGTGGGTGCGTGTGTGTGTGCGTGTGTGTGCGTGTGTGTGTGCGCACGCGCGCGCAATGGAAACAGCCTTATCCTTTTCCTGGTGAGGAGCCCTGGAAGGAGAGGACCTGCCGACCTTGACGGGGAGGGAGCAGGGCCATTTATTCTCCTTTGTGTCCCTTTTGTCTCTCTCTCTCTCTGTTTTTTTTGAAGTTTACTTATTTCTCCCGAGTGAGAGAGAGAGGTGTCTGCGCAAGGGTGTCTTCACGCCACGATGCATCCCCAGCCTCAAGCCTCAGCCCGCCGGGGTCACGGGCACACGTGTGCGAGCGTGTACGGGAGACCTTGGGACGCAGACCAGGCCTCCCCCACACGGGCTGTAGACTGCTGTGTCACCACTGCACCCCTGGCTGGGCCCTCTTTGTATCTTTTATATTTTGTACCACGAGTATGTATTGTCCCTGCAAAAGCTGTGACAATTATAAGCTTCCAGCAAAACAGTAACAGTATGGAAGATGAAGAAAAGCTCACCAATAATCCCACCTCCTGCCCGCTGTCCCACTGTGTCGAGGGCTAGCCTTCTGGTCATTTCTTACTCTGGTGAGCACGCACGCACACGCAAGTCGCACACAAGCTGAGTTTGGTCTGTGACCTGTTTCCTTTTTTTTATTTTTAAGAATTATTGATTTGCTTTTATTTATCACTATTTATTTTTAAAATTTGCTACAGGGCACGTGTGCTCACCAGAAAGAGAGAGAGAGAGAGAGAGAGGGAAGGAGAGAATGCAAGCTGCCAGGTCTAGGACTTGAACTGGGGTCAGCCATGTAGAGGTCCAGTGCCTGTAACCACCACGCCACCTGCTGGCCCACCTGTTTTCTCTTATCCCTGTTGCCTGGGACACACCTGGCCCGGAGAGAGCGCTTACACAGCCTGACACCTCTCTCCCGCTCTCTAACCGCCTGAGGAAGCAGGGTGGTCCCTCTGACCTGTCCCCGCTCGTGGACCCTGGGGACTCCCAGTATCACTTTGTTAGGTACAAGTCAGGATGGCTTCTCATTCTCGAATGTTTAGGAGCATCACCGTTGCTGTAAGCTCCTCACATGCTGCTCTGTGTCACAGAGGATTACATTTGAAAGCCTTTTTCTAACAACCCCAGTCTTTTTTTTTTTTTTGAGAGGTTTTTGCTATAGGGCACATGCACTCGCCAGACAGACAGAGAGAGACAGAGACAGAAAGCGAGAAATCACCCCTCAGGGGGGATGGCCATGCCGCAATCCCTTCTCCTCCATTCTCCTCTCGGGATCTTGGGCACGCACGCACACGCACCCGACATGAGTCTTAGCCACCAGGTCCAGGACTCGAACAGCG